TTGGTGCTGGTGAATGAAAAACTTCAAATTACGAGCAAACAGAATAGCTGTTTCTATTTATAGAATATCTAACAGTCCTACAAAATGTTCATTACCTTTTTCTGTGAGAGAAGGTATGAAAACTCTTAGTGTTCATCTTAGTTGCTCAGTAATCAATATCACAATCCTAAACATCTCTAAAATAGCTCTTTAGAGCCAACAATTGTACAAAGAAATGCATATTTTTAAAAGGTTATTTTCCTTATAATAAAATAGAGGGAAAAGGTCATCTTTGTTGGAACACTTGAAATTGATAGACCAACTGACTAATAGATGCCATGTGGAAATTCTTACATTAAGAGATGAAATGCATTCAAACAGGCGTATCTTTAATAGTTTCATGATCTTTATGTCATAGTATAAAGTAGCTTCCAACATTTATTCCAGATACTACAAATGCATCCTTAGTCCCTTGACCCTAGGTTAGCACATTTCCTCTCTGGATTTTCTGAGAGTATTGTGTCTGAGCTTTGAAATTGAAGCCAAATGACCAGTCCTTTTAGCCTCAGGGGAAACAGGGAATGGTTCTCCTTACTATTAAAGCATCTTTATGACATCTTCTCACAGTTATTAGTGAAATGAAGACTCTCACATTCTTTTCATCAGAGGCACCTCCTGCCTCCATTCCTGATTCCCATGTCTTTCCAAAGGAGAAGCCCACTCCTGTGTACTCATGCTCCTGAGTCTCACATTACTCTTGGTTAGGCTTAATTTATTGTACTTCTCACAACGAACTCCATTGGTTACCAGAAATCTTTTTATATTAGGATCTGTGATCTAAGTAGTCCTCAAACACTAGAGTCACTAGAGTTTTTCATTGGCTATAATAACAGGAAGAAATCTATTGGTATTTATATATTTTTCTCTGAAAATCAGATGATTAGTTCGGTACACTCATATACCAGCACACTCTGAACCTGGGAGGTAGTTTATTTACTGGAAATATCAGGACATCCAAGTCAGATAGAGGAAATTGACACACTTAATCACTGGATAAGGATTCTGTTTCTGAAATGTCCAAAAAGAACATAAGAAAATTGATGTGTGGTTGCTCACTATGAGGCTTGGTTGTGGCTGTGTTGCTGAAGGAAGGCTACCTCTATGAGATGAGACATAAAATCTAACAGATTCCCTTCTAAGGATAAATGGCGAATCTCATTCTTTACCATTAAATGGTAGACATGCAGATATCCAGTTTATTGATCATACAATAGTGTTTTATTATTTTATAATAGTACCTAATATAGTTATTTTGATCTATGATAAGGCCATTCCAGTTGCCAGTCTTTCTTAGTTACAGAAATATACTCTTAGTTTACCCAACAATGATTTGACCTATGACTTATGAGTCGGCCCAGCTTTGGGAGCCTGATCCAAATAGAATATCAATGGAACATGAGGAAAGAAGGAAGGTAGAATTCTCAGTGCTTTTGTAAACTGTTTCCAATCGTGTGTGTAAAATTTCAAAGGGGAAGGTGAAAATTCTTTCCTTAGTTTGAATTTCCAGTTCTCCTATTTGTTCCCCAATTATTACACTTTGAAGATGTCCTACAATAGTCTATACTTTTCTGCCATATGCGTTTTTACTTGTTCCTGCAAGTAGTTCTTTGTTTTCTAAACAGAACAACATTGGGGGAGGGCAAAGAAAAACAAGAGTTACGTGACTTTATATCATAGTATTTAAGTGTTGTTAATTTAGCTCATAGTGTTTAAGTCATGGGATTTCAAGAAGAGTAAACATCATTCAAAGAACTTGCCTCCTCTTCTGGGGAAGGGGTTAGTATGTTTTTGGTTGTATGCAGAATAGTTGTACCATGTTAGGTGAAGTTATAACCTTGTTCTTGTCTTTACTTTGAAATTAAGTATGGTTTATGGAGATGTGTATGGGTGCCAAGTTGACAAGGGGTGGAGTTGTGATGATTAATTTTATGTGTCAACTTGCCTGAGTGACAGGGTGCTCAGACTTTTAGTCAAATATCATTGTAGGTGTGTCTGTGGGTGTGTTTCAATGAGATTAACATTGAAATCCATTGACTGAGTAATTGCCCTCCCTAATGTGGATGGGTCTCTTCCAATCAGTTGAAGGCCTGAGTAGAAGGAAAACCCTGACCCACCCACCCGTAAGAGGGCACTCCTCCCACCTGACTGCCTTCTAGCTAAGACCTGTCTCCCCCTGCTTTTGGACTTGTACTGAAACATAAGCTCTTCCTGGGTCTCAAGCCTGCTGGCATCAGGACTGGAGCTACACCATCAACACTCCTGGTTCTCAGGCCTTCAGACGTGGTCTGCAACTATACCATCAGCTCTCTTTGGCCTCCTACAGGCTGACTGCAGATTTTGGTGTTTGTCATCTTCCATACTCATGAGAGCCAATGTCTTATAATAATATTATTTTATATATATTCTATTGGTTCTGTCTCTCTGGAGAGCCCTGGCTAACACAAAGTAAAATTATCTTTGAAATTGAATTAGACAAAGTTAAGATTTTTAGCTAGGATTTTTGTAGAAAAGACTGTGTGGAGTTGAGAAATGTTTGAGGCCTTTCTTTCTGAATTTTTCAGTAAAATGTTTTGAATGGCAATTTGTCACTTCCACATATCTAGGAGTATGAGATAGAATTTCAAGGCTGCACTTGGTTTGTCCATGAAGCCAGGGTTCTGATCATGTCTCAAGAACAGAGATGAAGCTATCAGTAGAGAGCTATCTAACAAATACAGTTGACCCTTGAACAACATGGGTTTGAACTGAGCAGATCCATTTATATATGGACTTTTTTCAAGAAATGCGGATCTGACATTCTTCAGATTCAACCTACCACAGATCAAGAGCAGTGTTTTCACACCCCCAACTGAAGTCTCCCAACTGCGGATGGGAAAATGCCATAGAGTCAAAAGTTACATGCAGCTTTTTGACTGCATGGGGTTTGGTGCCCCTAACATCAGAATTGTTTAAAGGTCAACTGTATATCCTGACTACCAACTTTGTGTTAGGTTTTGAAAGGTCTATGGTGAAGAAAGCTGTCCTCATGGAGCATGCCACCAAGTAAAAAAGAAACACATTCTTGATATTGTCGTACAAGTGAATTCATAATCACAAATTCTGATGCTATTTTAAAGGACGTTGTAAATTCTCCAAGAGTATGTGTAACAGAAAAACTTAGCCTGATCTAAAAGATTAGAGGAAGCATCTCAAGGAGGTAATAGATAAAGTAAACCTGAATGATGACAAAGAGGCAACGAAGTGAAGAGATAAAGGAAGATTATTTTGGAGCAAGAGAAAATTTGTGGAAAGACCCTGAGGCAAAGCTAGGGGACAAAATATTAATTTAGGCAACTTTAAGATGGATAACTGGAGCCTAGAGAGTGACTGCTGTGAACTGTTTTTCTCAGATTTCCTTGCCAAGAAGCTTCTGGCTCTTACATGCAATAGGATGAAAGAGCAGGAGATTGGAGGGCAGAAGGAAGGAGCAAGTCAGAATATATCTCCCTTTTCCTCTATGGACCCTGACCACACATCTGTCAGCAGCTGTGTACCCTGTATGGCTCCAGCTCTCACCTGACCGCCCCTCTGCCATGGTCCCAACAGGTCTGATGGCCTTGTCTTCCACCAGGTGGCCCTGGCTCCCAGTTCCTCAACATAGTCTCTATGTTGAACTTTCAACCTTAAAAGTGGTTATGTCTTCCTGCTTTTGTTAATCTTTTGAAAGACTGTTTCTCTTTTGGCTTCTTAAACTCTCTATCCCCAGGGCAATCAAATCCCTCTAGTAAAATCTCTGTTGAAAATACCTACAGTAGTTTCTGTGCTTGTTAGATTGGCCTGATCCACATACATGTGATGTAAGAGGTAAGGTCAAGGTTTGACCCCAGGCTGGCTCCATAGGCTGTGCTTTTAAGTCTTATTTTATACTATCATATACTTAACTGCCAAATAAATAATCCCCTAGCTAGAAAGAAACTAAAATTGACCAACAGAGTTGATATCTGATCATGTAAAACTTACTATAAAATGGATTTGGGATCATAATATATACGCATAGCTGCATAAAGAATACATGAATTTGTTTTACACATATCCTAATTATATCTGATCATTGAAACTGCAGAACTCAATAAATTCATCTTGTTCATGGAATGCAATTATTTAAACATTGTTCATTGAGTGCTTACTAAATGCCAAAGATTATTTAGGTATTAGAAATGCAGTGGGGAAACAAAACTTCAAAGAACATACTTTCTAATAGGAAAAGGCACATAATAAGCACATAAATGAATATAGGGAAAACTTATATAAAGAGAAGAAGCCAAGATAGAAGCCAGGATAGAGAGTAGCAATAATATGATATTAAAATTATATTTAAGAACACTACTTTTGCCCTGCCCAGTATGATTCAATTGGTTGGGCACCATCCCATGCACCAAAATGTTGCCAGTTTGATTCCCCATCAGGGCACGTACCTGGGTTTTGGGTTTGATCCCTAGTGGGGGGGCCTGCAGGAGGCAGCCAATCAATGTTTCTCTCCCTCTCTCCCTCTCCCTTCCCCTCTCTCTTAAAAAAAAAAAATTTGGTAAACTAAAAAAAAAGAACACTACTTTTGTTATAAGGGATACAATGCCCTTCTCACTTAATGAATGACTGAATTGTTTCAGAAAGCCTATTTATTTGTTGAAACTTTAATTTACATAATTCTGAATACTCATACATGTATGTGTGTATAATTTATACAAGTGGTCGTATATTACTTGTATAAGTACTCTATACAATTTTTCAACTGTTTACTTATACAAGTAGTTTTAATGATTTCTACAGGTATTTTTGTAATCTCCCCCAAAAACTATACTTCTGTTTTAAATGTCTTTACTGGCAATACCTAGAAATACCACCAGGTGGTAATGTTTCTCCTAAAAGCATGATATTTCCTAATTTTTTTAAAAAGGATACTAATTCATTCATTCCAAACTTACTGGTGTCCTTGTCTGCTAATGCTAACATCAGGATCCGTTCAGGGTTGGTGCAGCAGAATCGATCTATTTCCTCCTGATGGGCGGCATCTTCTTTGTCCTTTGCATGCCTAGAAATAGTTGATTGAATAATAGATGTGGTAAATTTTACCATCTTGAGTGCTGAATAATTTTGTGTTTTTCTAAATACTCTGTTTTGTTTAGGGATACAATTGAATTACTTGGAAACAGTTTAATCCTTTTGCGTCTTGTTTTTAAGACTTCTTAGGTGGGGCTGGAGCAGTGCTTAGTCTAAGGCTAATTACTTCCCACTACTGAGGAAAGAGCTTTCTGTGGACTCTACACAATGCCCCATGATTCTTAATGTTTTCTAATCCAGCAGATGGGAACAGGTGTTAGCTCCAGTCCCTTGTGATCCAGTTAGAACAGTGCCTAATCCTTTCAGGTGACTCTTTCCTCAGCCTCAAGTAGTGTCCTCACTACACGTGGGCTAATCAATATGCAAGGGGACCTTCCACAGATCCCCAGGGTTCCCTGTCTGTTCAGGTCTCCGCTACTCTGTCCTGTCAACCTGAGCTACATAATCTCCATAGACTCTTAGCTCTGCCTCCTCACAGTAAGTAGTCTGCTGAGCTCTCCCTGAGCACCCCTCCCTGCGCTGTGGCCTGGAAACGATCTCATCGCAATCATCTGAGGTAATGGAAAGGCTCATTTAATGTTTTACCATCCCTCACCCATCACTGTCCTTTGTTGCCTCATGTCCAGTGTCTTGCAATCTGTTGCTTCATATATTTTGTCTGTTTTTGTCTTGTTCCAGATGGGAGAGTAAACATCATGTTTACCCTCTTACTCCACCGTGGCCAGAAGTGGAAGTCACTTCCTTTCTTTCTAACCAAAGATTCCTGATCACTTCCTTTGTTGTATTGTTCCTGATGCTCACCCATTCAGAATTTTCTGAGCAATTGCTGTGAATCACAGTCATGCTACGGATATCCATTTGATCCTCTGACTCAACAAATGAAGCCCATAATTGTTTAGACACAGAAATAAATAGGTAGATTTCCCCCCCTACAATTTAGTTATTTTATTGTTATTATTATTAGTCCACATGATTATAAGAAAGCAGTGCACCCTACTTTGCCTCTAACAGTTCTGGCTTACATCTGTGGTTCTGGCATAATTATAAATAGTTACGTTCATTCTCAAAAGTGTCTCTATTTGTACAATAAATTGCATTGTCACCCTAGCTATATTTTATGCTGACAAAAGCAATAATGACACTGAAGTTAAGGCTTCTCTGAAACAAGGATCATGTCATTTATTTCTTTAGCTAAGAAGGGTGACGTGGAACTACTGAGTGTTACAGACAAGAGCTTCTCAAACTTGACATGTATATAGGAATATTTTTTTCTTAAAATGTAAATTCTGGTTCAGGAGGTCTAGGGTGAGGCCAGACATGCTGTGTTGATAAACCCGCAGAGGATGCAGATACTTCTAGGTGATATATTCAATTTGTACATAAGAGTTACACCTGTGGACTCAGTATAAAATTTTAGTAAGAAATGAGCATGAAACCCAGGTTATAAGAAACATTAAATCTGGTGCTGTTGATCTCTTCATAGTGGGGGGTTGTAAAGTCATGGAAGAGTCAGCAACATGGCATGGCCTATGTGTTTGTCTATCCATATATCCAAGGACCTGACACAGTGTATTGTCAGAGAAAGTTTTCAATAATTATTTTTTTAACCCTCACCTGAGGATAAGTATAAGTATGTTTTAATGATTTTTAGAAAGAGAGAGGGAGGGAGAGAGAGAGAGAGAAACATCGATGTGAGAAGAGAGAAACATTGATCGGTTGCCTATTGTATGTGCCCTGACTGAGGACTGAACCCACAACCTAGATATGTGCCCTGACCGGGATCGAACCCGCAACCTTTTTGTCTGTGGGGACAATGCTCCAACCAACTGAGCCACCTGGCCAGGGTGTTTTCAATAAATTTTTGTTGAAATAAACTAAATAGAACATTAGGGTAGTAAAGTTTCCTTGGAGAAATTTAATCCCATGATTCTTAATTTTTTGGATCATATCTACTCTTGTAAAAATGTGTAAAAAGCATGTGCTGATATGCACCAAATTTTTATCCAAAGTAATGCATATGTGCACCTCCTGAATCCTTTCACAGGCCATCTAGGATTTTTAAACCTCTTAATTTTATACACTCTGATACTGTTAATGAACAGAAATCTTAACTTCTTCACCAAAATCCCAGGGCTGATCATTGGCAGAACTTTCATTATCTCCCGAGTCTGTTAACTTTCAATACTTTCTCTCCCACTTCCATCACACTGTGCTCTTTTTCTAAAAGGAATCTACTTTTCATTCCCAACAAAGAGGATGGCCTGCATTGTGTAAAATTAAATGAGCTGAGTGCTGAGAGTTGTAATTTTTACTTGGGTTTACTGGCCTGGGAATCCCCAGGGTAAGCATGTGTTTGTTCCCTAGGCGAACTGCTTGAGTGCAACCAGGACCACCTGTTGCTAAATGCTTCTTTGAGCAGCAATCTGTACCAAAGGGGACATGAATGTCAACGTGAAGTTGTTTCCAGCCAAAGTAAGACGGGGAGTTCATACTTTTTATCCGGATGATTTTAGACACATAGATTTTTGCATACTGAGATATCAAAAGAATTGGCACCATTCTCTCTCTCCCTCTCTCTTCTCTCCCCCTCTCTCTCCCAGTGGGGGTTATGCAGTTACAGCAATTGCTCATGGGCCGTAAAAAAAGGAGACTAGGCATTGTGGGCCATAAGCCTATGAACAATGGACATGTAACAATATTTTGAAAAATACCTTCCTGTGTAGAATGACACAAATGGACTTTCTGAGATTCGGTAAGGTTTGGTGAGCAGCAATGAAAATAACACAAAGTTAGAGAGAAATACCCACGCAGGTGACAGGAGGCAAACCCAAGGAAGAGCCTTAGGGAGGCCGCTTGCTTGTGCGTAGGAGGAGGAGACAAGGTTTTGGGATTTACCCCAACAAGCAAATACAGGAAGAATATCTGTAGGAGTTGTTTTAGTGAATCTGTGAGAGCTAGATCACTGTGCTGACAATTAGGAACAATCACAACAAACCGCAATGCCCTGGAGCAAAAGTGGATGCAAGAAAGCCATTTCACCCAGTAGTGCTTCCCTGTGGAAATCTTTATGTCTTTTTTTTTTTCTTGAGAGAAATATTGATTTGTCGTCCCACTTATATATGCTTCTTGTGTGTGCCCTGACCAGGGATCGAATCCACAACCTTGGCATATTGGATGACACAATGCTCTAACCGACTGAGCTGCCCAGCCGGGGCGATCTCTCTATGTCTTTTGAAAGGTGAGATCTGGCTCAGTGCGATCAAGATCAAGGCACAGAGGTACCCAACAACTTTTCCTTTTATTAAGATGTTGAGTTGATGCTTGCTCCTTTATTTGAGAGCTTCTCACAGTTTAATCTATTGATTTGGTGAGGCTTTTCCTGTGAGTCTTGAACGGGGTCATCGGAATAACTCTTAACATTTAACTAGAGTCATTAAAAATAAATAGACATTTGAGAATAGTGTAATTGGTTGCGAAGGCATTTCCAAGGTGGAAAGGTCAAAGGTGCCAAAGCAAGTCTGTGTGGGCATGTTGTCTTTGAGACCTGACTTACTCAGCAGTTCTCCAAAACGACTAAAGACTTCCTATAGCTTCAGGCACTAATTTGTCCGAAGACTGTTGTAAGACTTTGGCTAAAGAAAACCAGAAAGCCTATGAAAACATGGCTCACTAATAACACATCCCAGCTGTTCGCTCCCTGTTAAAACGTAGCAAATGACGTGTTTTGGAACAGCTTAAGTACTCTGTTGGGTATGTTTTTAGAACTGTACCGAGTCTTAACAGCATGAGTCCTGTTCATTTTAATCGAAGTTGTGTAGTTTCAACTTGTCTCACGACCCAGCTTTTTGCTGTTGACATGTCAGTCTCTGAAATTAGGTTATTGCCAAATTTCTGTTATGTCTTTGGTCATCATAATCCCTGTGAATTTCTTGCTCATGTAACTGAAGGAAGAAGGTATCTTTATATCTACTGTTAGGCTATCTGTTCTCTGAAAAAAAAATTATTTCTCTTCATTTTTATCTTACCTGGAGCAATAATCCTCAAATCATTGTATGCATTAAGAGCATATATAAGAATCATTTAGGATGCTTGTTAAATCACAGATCACCTGGCTGCCACCTAAGAGACTGTGGTTCTGTTGACCTGGAGTGGAGCCTAATCACCTGCATTTCTAATGAACTCCCTGCTGCCAACTCTGGGACTATGCTTTGGGTAGCACTGCCCTGGAGCCCTGGTCCACAGCCCTATCCAATCCAAGGGCCCTATTTATATCAGAGATTTTATAACACAGTCTTTACTATATTAAATAAAATTCATAGGTAATATAAACCTCCCACACACTTATTTTTGTCAATATAATATTGTAATTATACTGTAAAAATAAATTGTAAAAGAAAATAAGCGGAAAATAATTCATGATAAAATAAGTATTTCAACATGTAAATGCTTGGGCATGACTACACTAGAAGATATAATTAAGTTGTCAAAGTTTACACCCATTCAAAGATCACCTTGAATGTCAGTAACAAACGCAGGTGTGTTGTGTTGCTACTCAAATATGATGATTGGTGTTGCCTTCTGTGATGTCACTTTTTGAAATAGCAAACAATTTTTGATAAAGTGACAAATAAGACAAAGAGCATATCCCCACCAAGTGTATGATAGTTGCTATTAAGATAGTGTAAAAAAGATATTTTCTATTTATGTGTATAAAGAATGAAATTTTAGGCTTAGGTATTTATAAACACATTTTTCATCCACACATGTCAGATGAGACCTGAGACATCTCTTCATTGGGTGAGACTATCCAGCACATTGTAGGACATGTATCGTTCCAGGTCCCTCCCCACTAAATACCAGTAGTGCACCCCAAACATTGTGATAACCAGACTGCCCTCCAAATTCACCTACTGCCTAATGACAACCAGACTAGAATATCAAACACAGTACCTTAAAGATAGTAGGCAATTGGGTTTATAACAACATTTGAAGAGAAATACTCGCTCATGGTGAGTGGAAATTGGTTACCGAACACTTTTTTTCTTGGATATATTATATTAAGTGACTGGTTTTATTTTTAAACAAAAACTCAACAGTAGTGATCAATCACATTTTTCTTCACACTAGTTATTTTTACTTAAGGGTACTGGACATCTTCATCATTGTGCATTTTCATCATTATTCCAATCAGCTTGCAAACCAGCTGGCAGAAAAGAACAGCCTTTGGGTCATATTTGGCAACTGCGGTGGGAAAATGGCATGATCCAATTGCACGCAGCTGTGGTCTGTACTGGGGGACAGTGCGCCTGCCTTGCCTCTAACAGTTCTGGTTTACACCTGTGGTTCTGGTATAATTATAAATAATTACATTCATTCTCAAAAGTGTCTCTATTTGTACGATAAATTATATTGTCACCCTGGCTATACCTCACAAACAATACCAGGTGCTGGAGAGCTTAGATTTTTTTCCTTGTGTAACATAAGAAAGTTTCCAAATACAAACACTATGGCAATTTTTTTCTGTAATAAAACAAGGTTGGACAGTCCTTGGTGTTCTGAGATTTTGGTCCAATGTCCTAAATAAGAGTAATTTATTATATATAGTAGGGTAGGGTATTTTTATTACCAACTGTCCTGAAGTTCAAAACTCAACAATTCCTTATGTTATTTTGGAATTTCCATGACTTTCTCTTTGTATAGTAATATCGCAGAACATTGAATGTATGCCATCTTCTTCCTCTGAAATTTCATAGCTAAATTGAGTTTTATTAAGAGAAACAAAGAGGTTATGGATTTTCTTTCTTCCAAGGTTCTGAGAACGGCAGTCTTATATTGAACTGTAGATTCCTAAATTCCTCACTCTAGACACTGTGTCCAACTTAATCTTAGAAGGAAAATAGGATCCTAACCTGTCCATTTAGTGGTTTCAACATCAGTCTTGAAGCCCTGAGCCTTGTTTTTGGGGTGAATCTGGGAACCTTCAAACCTCCCAAGTGCAACCTATCTCTGATTACCTAGAGCCTATAGCTGAATTTCTGCTTTAGTTTCCCATGTCTGCTCCAACTCTTCTTACTGAATCTCAACTCTTTGGTGAAGCCACAAATACCCCAGATTTTTCTTCTCCTTTCCACTTGGACATGGTCCCTGTTCTTGACCCTGTTCCCTCGGGTCTCTGGCAGAATCTATGGCTTAATTCTAGGAAGTTATCTCAGTAACAGTAGCTGTAATTAAAAAATATGAAGTTCCCTTGATTCAAATAAATTGACTTAGTTATGATCTTAGGTCAGCTCTTACTTTCTTTTGACCACATTTTTCTCAAAGTAACCCATAAATACGTCTTATTCCCTAAGGTAACAATCAAATGACAATATATATAAAGTGCTTAGAATTCAGTGGTGTTCAATGGAGCAGATCCTGGAACATAAGTGGATATAAGTGTAACAAGAACTGCATCCCCTGTGAAAATTTCCACAATGATGAAAATGTTCCATATTGCTGCTCTCCAATATGGTAGCCCAAGTCACATGTGGCTATTGAGCACTTGAAAGTGGTTAATGTGGCTGAGGACCTGAATTTTCAATATTAATTAACTTAAATTTAAATGGTCACATAATGCTAGTGTCTATGATATTGAATAGCACAGTTCTAGAGGGATCATCTTAATTAGCAGATACTTGCTAACAATATCCATCCACAGTTCCCTGCATACTTATTAGGTTGCATATTGCAATTTTATTACAACCATCTCCTTGTTTTTCCGCTTCAAAGCTTCTAAAGTCATTTGTTTTAACCAGGTTTCTCCTGCATAAAATTCTTGGAGTGATTAGCAGCACAAAAGGGAACTTACCTCTGAACCTTCATAGCAGATATAAGATTAGTCACTCTTGGAGAAACAATCCTACCTGACAACCTATTTGCACTGCTCTTCCATTGGTGGTTTCAGTGAGACCTGTGGATACATTAGTACATTAAAGGCATGGAAATACTGTGTCCAGGGTCACTGTGACCCTGCCAGAAAGCTAAAGAAACCATGATACATAATCTGGATCCTGATTGAAGACGAAGTTTAAGAAATTGACCAGTCTTTTAATAATAGAAAATTATTCTAGTGCTCAAAGAGGCCCTGACAATAAGAAATAATACTTTTTTCCTCATATACTGATAGATCCCATTTAATGAGTTTTGCCAAAAATCAGAAGTAATTTACCTGTTTAAAGAACATGATGGTTGTATTGTAATCAAGATGATTTCTTAAGTAATTTACCTACTTCTTTGACAGTTATATGTGCTTTCTCTCTAAGTTTCTTATGTGATACATTATTATAACATGAGATATCTGTGATATTTTTGTAGGGAAAAGTCACTGAATCTTCAGGTTTATTTAATGGAATGGAAACTGGTTGAGGACTTCAGAGGAAAAGATAATGAAGATAAGAGGCAGAATATTTCAGATAAAATAAAATTAAGTAGAGTAATACCCTTATTTCTAAACAAGAACTTGTAACATGGGTGAACATTGCATATTCTATATTCTATTTGGTTTCCTACAAAGAAATCAAATAAGGTGAAATATCAAGGGGATTTCTTTAATAAATGAGAGTAACTAGAATCTGTATTATAGCATTTCCCCCAAAGTTATAAAATTGTGTTTAATAAAAAAAATATTTTACATGCTTTCAGTTTTCAGATTGACATTTAAGTCAGTTCTAACTTAAATATAATTAAAATTCAGTCCCTCATTCCCTAGGTAACTACGCCTACCTGAATGCTAAGGGAACCTGAAAATTGGTTGTAGGTTATGAGCCGTGTATCAATTATATTTCAGGCACCAGACTGGATATTCTGAAACTCGGAGATCACTGTAGTAGATTAGATTATCATTCAGCAAGTATCCACTCCCTCCTTACACACTTTCAATGGAAGAATATGCTGCCCACTCCATTGATTGTGGGCTTGCCTGGCTATTGCCAATGGGATGGGGGCAAAAGTGTTATTATTGTGTTATTTCTGAGCCTAAGCTTTCAGAAACATCACATTTCCCCTTCTGACCTCCACCGTGAGAAAACAGGTGTCAGGTTGCCAACATGTGATATGTGGAAGGACCTACACCCAATCTATAGACTGAAAGACATCCCTGCCTTCTCCCACCCCAAGCTGAGCCCAAATTAGCTGAACCACTTTGGCCTGTGATCTGGGCATGTAAGAATGTGTTGATTGGTGTATGCCACTGAAATTTTGTGGTTGTTGTTTCTTATGGCAATTTTTCCTGAGACACTCAGGGCGAGTCACTTTTATAATGCCTTTTTATATTAAACGCACTGCTCCAGCCTCTGTGCTCTTTACTTGTACCCTCTCATACATGTAATCTTCTCTTCCAAAGCTGCTAGAGAGTAGCAAAGGATGTTCTAGCTGCTTTCAACTTCAAGTATAGCCCTGATCCGGCAGTTTTACCATCATCTTGGAGCTTGTTAGAAATGCAACTCCTCAGGTCCTACCCCAGAACAACTGAATCATTACCTCTAGGGTTGGGACCCAAAAATCTGCACTTTAACAAGTTCCCCAGGTAGTTCTATGCACACATTAGGGTGGCTACTGGTTGCCCAGGACTGTCTCGGTTTTAATACTGAAATTCACTCTTCATGGGAAACCCCTTGGAAGGTTGGTCACTCTGTAAGAATCAGTGAGGCAACCTGCAGTGATGAAATTTCTATAGGCACAGCTCTGCCAAAAACCTGTCTCTGAAAATGCTTCTGAAATACCATTAACGCTTCATGTCTTTGGAGATGGCCAAACAGAGAGTTCTCTTGCTAAGTTATACATTTCCTCAGGAAGGTAATTCATTGAGCCTTTCCCATGAATTGGAGTGTATTGTACTGCTTCATGATAAAGGACAGCCTTCCCAGGTGGAAAAGAGCAAGAACTCATGTTTCTGATTGATGCCTTATGTCTAGAGTATAAATAAGTGAGATTTTTCAGTTTCTTACCTGTGAGCCGATCTTCACACTGATCACCGGAATAGGGGCTGGAGACCCTGTGGGGTTAGACAGGGGAAAGAAAAGAGAAAACACTAGATGCATATTTCTGAGACTTACATAGCTTTGCTCTTCAGAGATAGAAAGTGGCCCCTTTTATGCCAATTTCCTTAGGTAGCTACAGCATTAACTTACTTGTGTTCTATCACACATTTGGTATTTAGCAGCTTTTGTAGGTTAAGCTGTGGTGCCTTGTGATTTCAGGGTTCTCTGTTCTAGTCAACCTCTCTTAGTCTCAGTAGGATCCCATCAGACCGTGGGGCCCAGAGCAACCTAACCATCTTTGGATAGAATCCGCCCAAGTGTTCACCCAGTGCCCTGAAGTTCTGCACATGTGCAGGAACCACAGGAAGCCGGTGGATCAAAGGGAGCTGAGAGAGCCTCAACAGGGCTGCAGGAACATCGTGTAATTTACCCAAACCATCTGCGAGTGACATAAATACCAGCCGCGTGGAACACCTGCACCAGATGACTCAGCACCAAGTTGGGAAGCCAGCAGGGGGTTGAAATAAAAGAAAACAAAAACTTCAGTGACTGGAGCAAAACAAATCATCACATGTTGGCACCAGCTGCACTGGGGGAAAAAAAAAGAAAGAAAGAAAGAAAATGAGTTGGCAATTTTTAGTCAACTTCCAGTCAGTGGGATCTGCCAGCTGGATGTGTCAAAGTTTGGGTTGCGGGTGGGAGCAAAGAAGGGGATTTGAAAAAAAAAAAAACTTTAAGAAATATTAAATCCCAGAAACCTCCAATAATAATTTCAGGGTCTTGAGCTGTTTGATTAAGAGCAGCTGCTGCTGACCTTAAGATATAATATGTTGATTATGACCTGGAAGGGATGGAGCACTAGGGGCCCTTTTGATAGTTAAGAGAGTGAGCAGGTGTGGACTTTGTGTGTGCCATAACACAGCTAGCCAGCCCAAGGGTCCTGATGGGCCACTTCCTCTCAACTGCAAAGGCCCTCATTTATTTAGATAAACCCTTCAAAATCTCTCAGGAAAATCCCCCTGCAACACCAGTCACCGTGAAGAAGGCCAGCCACAGAATTTCAAGACTTGAATATACCGTCAATAGGAAAAGAAAAACCTGATTGCCTGTGAGCTCCTCAATGAGGCACTTTCTGGAATTTCAATTACTCTGGGGGGCCTACTGTTTATAGCATTGACCTTGTATTTTCTTTGGTAGAGAGGAGGGATGTGATGAATGGCGGGCACACCACTTTCTGCCTCATCCACCAGATGAATGGCCACAGCTATTCTTGGCATCCGAAGTGGCCCAGGTGGTCCCTCTGGCCTGATTTCCTTGGCCAGTTTTCCTTTCTGATCTGGGAATTTTGATCCTCGCGCTTTCCAACTAATTGTATCATATTATCTCTTTTTTGTTCAAGACTGTCTTCTCAGCAAAAGTTTGAAAAAATCTCAGGCTCTTGGGGTAGAAAGTTTCAATTAACCTCTAACCTTGTTCCAGTGCCCATGGCTTAGGTTATTCCTTACACATAATTGTAGGCCTATTAACAAGTTGTCCAAAAACAAGACAAAACACAACAACTGTTTTGACCAGGATATAATTGCTAAGTGACACTTAACAATAGCTGCCTTGAACCCCTGCTAAATGGACAGGGTGGGCCACTCAGCCCCATGGCTAAATCCTGGGCAATGAGCTTTATTTGTGATAAGGGCCTCCCTGTATCTGTTTAAGCGCTTCATCTAGCAACTCCCTTGATTGAAGGGCGATCGTTTTTTGGATTCCCAGAACTGACAATGTGGCACAAAGCATGAAGGACAACTCCCGCGAAGGACTCCGAAAGCCTTCCTCCCCTCCTGCTGCAAATATAATTAGTTTATGTTAGCTGGAAAAGGTCAGAGGTTGTCAGAGGGTAGCACAGTCTTTGTTTTTAGGCAAGACAGTGGAATAATTGCTTGATGCTCAGATCTGCAGGTGCTGTAAGGAGCTCATTTGGGCTTGGCAGCCTGCAGGGAAAGCTCATTTCCTCTAGAAAACCACGGAATTCCTTGTGACAGAGTCTATTTGCCCTGACAGGAGTGATTATCCATTCATGCCCTCAGGACAATACCTGCCACACTGGGCCCTCACCTTACTCCCATTTTCACACACTCCAGGCAATGAGCCCTCTTCCTCTCTTTTCTTATGAGAACAGTAGGGCCACGAGCAGACAGACCAACCTGGCTGATCTTACACGAGAGAATGTCCTGGGCATATCAGGACATAGAGGGAGAGGGGAAAAAGCTCACGGAGCAGTTTATTCAAGATAAAGGAGAAATTAAAAAAGAAAAAGGGAAAAAAGATACCATCACGAGATGCTGAGCTATGTTACAGCATGCTTTCGGTGAGAGAAGGAAGAGTGAATGAGAGCCTTAAAAGGAGGGTTTGCTTAAAAATGAAGCCCAATTCCCACCCCCCATCACCTTCATTTTGTTTTTCTTACCTGTCTCAAAAAATAGTAACAGGTTGTAATGAGATATCTAATTAAACTGGATCACAAAATCTTTAAAAGCCAAGGAGAGCTCTGTACTTTCTCTCCAGCAGACTCAGGCCGGATGTCAGGAAGTCCTTTCTGTTAATCTGTGAATATTTTACCTATATGGGGAGGTTGTGCTTTAAGCCATCTGTTGAGGAAGCCAAGGAAAGTGATTCTAAAGCTGGGGAGAGCCCAGAGTCTCTTGCACCTGCTAGTTGTGTGAACTTGGACAAGGCATTCAACTTCTTTATTATATAGTTAAGTGTCTTTAATATACAGTCAACTGTCTAATGAGGATAATGCTTTATTATATTCCTTGCCCAATTGACCTCAGGTTCAAATAATGTGTTTCAGGACTACCCTTACCATTGCAACACAGGGCTTAATTGTGATAAATCTAATGTGGATTTTGCTTTTAGTCTTTTTTCAAATCTTTGTTA